GAGATGGACTAGACTGCAGAAGGGCACGATGGACAATTTGGGGGTAATAGAAATGTTCTATGACATAGTGATGATTATAAACATGTACATATTTATCAAAACTTATAAAATTATACAGTTAACATTTGTCAATCCATTATTTGTAAGTTTAGCCTCAGTAAAACTCATTAAAATAAAACAAAGCCTAGAAAATTTTGAACTATTTGAATTTTTAAAAACAAAAAAATTGAGGTTAATTTTTATATATGTATACACCTATGTAACCACCACTCAGATCACTCTATAGAGTTTATCTATCCTCTCAGAAGTCTCTATCATGTATTTTCCTTCATCCAACCTCTATTCTGATCTTTCTGGATGGAGATTAATTTTCTTTTTTGCGCTTAATATTAGTGGAATTATACAGTATGAATTTTAGTCTGTCTTCTTTTTTAAATATTGTTTGCATGTTCTTGGTGGTGTTTGTTATTTACTCATTATGTTGTAAATATTTTTTCATATGACATCATAACAATGTATTTATTCTGTTTTTGAATTTTTCATTATATTAAGCCTCTATGGACATTCTTATTAAAAAAAAGATAAATATCATAGTATATATAAATCCCATAAAATACTCAGGCATAATCTTGGATAATTGTATGTAATTGTATGGGGAAACCTATAATGTGTATCATTTAATTTAAATATGTAAAAAGGGACATATAACTAAGCATTGCTCTTAGACATGAAAACTATTATTTTAAAATGTTATTTATTTTTCAGTGTATAGATTGATTACAAAAACAAAAACTCCCAATGGTATTTTACTTTGAATTTTAAAATTTTATTTGGATTTCTAAATTTCATTTGGAAGAATAAACTGGTGAGAATGTTAGTGAACATTCCCAAAAAAGGGACTAATATAGTGGTAATAATTATAATAGTACAGTAGTGATAAAAATGCAAATCAGAATTGAATCAATAGAATAAGCAATCAATAATAAGTAATCTCAATCAATTATAAAAGACTATAATACATAATTAAATAGAAGGAAAATAAGTGCTTAATAAATTCTGAAAAGTTAATCTTTCCCTTTTGAATCATGTCAAAATAAATTTCAGATGGATTCAAGAGTAAATATATTTTTTAATTGTAGAAGAATATGGAATTGAGTATTCACTGGAGCTCAAGAAAAAGACTGATTCTGTTCTCACTTTCTTCGTCTTTTGAAAGAATAACTAGGGGCTGGGATTGTGGCTCAGCGGTAGCGTGCTTGACTAGCACAGCCGGGACCTGGGTTCGATCCTCAGCACTACATAAAAATTTAAAAAAGGCATTGTGTTGTGTCCATCTACACCTAAAAAGTAAATATTAAAAAAAAGACTAGCTAAATTTTAAAGGATGAGAAAAAGTCTCAACATATATGACTGCCCCAAAATAAAAGATAATGTGATAAAAGGTAATCTTAGAGGTTGGGATGTGGCTTAGTGGTAGAGTCTTTGCCTAGCATGTTTGAGGGCCTGGGTTGGATCCCCAGTACTGCAAAAAAGTTTAAAAATTATAAAACAATCTTTGTGCTGGGGGTGTAGCTTAGTAATAGAATGCTTGCAAGTATGCATGAGGTCTTAGGTTCAATCCCTAGGACCAAAAAGAAAAAATAATTTAAAAAGCAAACATCAGCTTTTTTGCAGTGTTATAACTAGTGAGATTTCCTCCAAGGTACTATGATTAATAAGGATCTTCCCAACACCCTTCAAAAATATCTACCATATTCCACTCAAAATTTTGGTGACATAAGACAAATGTACAAAGATGAATTGGGCAAGCTTGTTCACTAAATAATTGATTATAATGAAAAACTGGAAACAACCTAAACTTCTATAGTTAGGGTGTTATTTAAATAAATTTTGATAAAGTTATCTTAAATACCAAGAAATGATAGTGTAATAGAAATTATAGTGTAATTGATTTTTTTTGAGAATGAAGGATGCTCACAACTTATTTTTGAATGAAAGATTAGAGATCAACCTTAAGAGTGGTTAATTCTGCATGGAAGAGGTTTAAAGATTTTTGCTTAATCTAAATTCTTTCATATTCTTTTTCTCCCCCTGCAGTAATCATCTATGATTTTGATGATCAGAAAGGAAATGAAACTGCATTTGTTTTTCATTTTAGAAAAACAAATGCAAACAATTGACATTGGAAATTGTTTGCAGTAATTTTTACCTCATGCATGCTGGCAAGCATTCTATTACTGAGCTATACCCCCAGCATGAAGACTGTTTTATAATTTTTAAACTTTTTTGCAGTACTAGGGATCCAACCAGGCCCTCAAACATGCTAGGCAAAGATTCTACCACTAAGCCACACTCTAACCCCTAAAATCATATTTAAAATACATTATCTTTTTTTGGGGGGGCAGTCAGCATATGTTGAGACTTTTTCTTATCCTTTAAAATTTAGCTAGTTATTTTTTCAAAGATGATGAGGGAGAGAACAGAATCAGCCTTTTTCTTGAGGTTTGATGAATACTCAATTTCTTTACTTTTCTAAGAGCTCAAATTGTTAAGAAGTAATTGAAGATACCAGTAGGGTTGAGCAGAGAACATGAGCAGACACATAACAGAGAAAATAGAGGTGGTAAACAAACAACATGGGTCATTATTCAGACTTGTTTATTATCAAAGAAATGTAAATTTAAAGATTGAGGTAACATTTACTTTAAGTTTTTTAAATTAGCAAGTTTTCCACCATTAGGTTATTCATAATAAAGACATATTAATTATATCAAATTGTGGTACAGTCTTAAAAAATATTGCAACCTGAAAAAATACAGCGTTTGAATGAAGTAACGAGGGTAATAGTTTTTGTACTATGAATATTAACAGGTGTTGGAGTGGGTTGGGGGAAGAGCAGGGTTATTCAATTGGGTTCATTTTAGCTCTGGCACTTAATAACTGGGTAAGTTGCTTAACCTTTCTGAGCTTTAGTTTCTTTTCTTCCCTAAGAATGGTATACTTACTTCTCTGGTTGTAAATATATATAAACCAGATGATACACACCATGGTATATAGTGCTTATTAATACTTGTTAATACTTGTTGAATGAATAAATGGTAGTTATTAAGTGCTGTATATAAAAGTATGTTTATGAAAAAAGATTGGAGGAGAATACAGCAAAATGATTAGTGGTTATGTTAGAATGAAGAGAATGGAGTGATTTAAAAAATTGTCCATTTTTTGAATCTCTTTTTAAATTTTTATTCTTAAGTTTTAGGTGGTCACAATATCTTTATTTTACATTTATGTGGTGCTGAGGATTGAACCCAGTGCCTCTTGCATGCTAGGTGAGCACTGTACCACTGAGCCACAATCCTAGCCCCCCTTTTTAAATTTTAAATAACTATTTTGTCCTGTTGCCTACATCTGAAATGGGAGGCAGGGATGACTGATTTTCTATTTGGTGGTATTATGTTTACAATTAAAATAATTATTTAAACTCATCTTTAATCCCTCTCTCCTTTCCTGGGTGTTCTGTTGTACTTATTGTTTAATAAATTTTGAGGTTTGATTGCATGTTTTTCGTTATTGGTTCACTTAGCTGAACACTTTGGAGTTCAGCCATCACCTCTTTCTTTCTCTGTGTACCGAATTTCAAATCTATCAGCAAATGCTACTGACTTTCTTCTTTAGAATATATCCAGAATCCTTACTGTCTCCACTGCTACCACACTGGTCCAAACCACCATAGTATCTTACGTAGAATACTGGAATAGCCTCCTAACAGTTCTGCTTCCATCTTTGTTCAATGTCTTCTCAACTTAATGACTAAAGTGAATATAAGCCTATGAAGTCATTTTGCTGCTTCAGTAGTTTATCACTACATTCAGAGCAAAAGCCAAAATCCTTAAAGTAGCTACAGAATTCTTAAGGAATTTATTCCCCAACCTCAAACCCATGCTTTCTGATTTTATTTTCTACTATTCTGCACTTTCTTTCTCTCTTCCCAAAAATCTCTTCCTAGAGATATTCACAAGACTGGCTCTCTTCCCTCTGTCAGTGTCTGCCCAAATATCACCTTATCATGGAGACAGGCCTTTCCAAATCACTAGATCACCCCAGTCTCACCCCCCCCATCCCTCCTCTGGTTATTTTTGCTCTATTTAAAAAAAATTTATTTTTTAGTTGTAGTTGGACACAATGCCTTTCTTTTTACTTATTTGTTTTTTGTGGTGCTAAGGATTGAACCCAGGCCCTCACATGTGTGAGGTGAGTGCTCTACTACTGAGCTGAGCCATAACCCCAGCCCCCATTTTTGCCCTATTTTTAAGCCCATTTGACTTACTATATATTTTACTAAGTATGTGCAAGGTTATATATCTTTCCTAATAAAAATATCTTTCTATACAGGCAAGTTTGTTTGGCCTATTTTGTTCCTGGCTGTAACTCTATTAACTAGAGTAGTGTCTAGGACATAGTAGGTACATCACTATTTCATATAAGTTAGCCTTAGTCCCAAACTTGTTTGAAAACTTTATGATGAGGCAGTATCATATGTTGGTTTTTAATTCCTTATATCCCACAACTTCAGCTCTCCTCAAGTGTAGAATAAAGCAGGGTAGGCAAGACACACTATTGATAAGACAGTGGTATTTGTTGCATTGGATTTACTCAGCCTGTCAGGCTGAATAAACTACTTGGGATGGAAGATACCTAAATATAGTCTACTAATTTCATATGGGTGGTAGTCCCACGAGTATATGCATATGTGAAAACTAATTGACTGTGAATTTAAGATTGAGATTAAAAAGCCTTTATATCACTCTTCAGAATTTTGAAAAAATATTCTATTCTTTGACAACTCCAGAGGAAGTTAAACATGCTAAATGATACATAAAGAAGATCAAGAAAGAATCTTTCATGTTCTTCCTTATTAAGATTTCTAGTCTGGTTATTGAGATTTTTGTTTTGAATTCAAAATTAAAGTAAAATAATTTTATTTACTTATTCTTTTGCAGAGTTAGCACTAGCAGAATTTCACAAAAAAATCAAAGAAGCATTTGAAGTGTTTGACCATGAGTCGAATAATACAGTGGATGTGAGGTTTGGAAAAATTTATTGTTGTTCAAATTATAAATTACTGATACAATTCATAAAACAGAAGAGGAATCTTTTCTTTTAACACTGTACCTTGGATTTATTATGCTGTTTAAAGTATTTATTTTCCTGTGCCCCATAAAATGTTTTTGCTAGCTATTGCTTCAGGTAAATTCTGTTTCTTATTCCTTAGTCTAGTGGATAGAATATGTTTCTAATTGTCTATTCCAACCTATAGATTATATAAACTCTGAGATGAATTCTGTAGCTTTAATACTTAGTTGATATTCAATAAATAGTTAAGTAATTGAATAGAATTTGCTTTAAAAAATAGATATGTATTATCAATCCATGAAAGGAATTATCACAAAGAATGAATAATAATGCTTGAACACAATCCTCAGTATCACAAAGAAATATATATATCTAAACACACACACACACACACACACACACACACACACACACAAAAGAATACCTAAATAATGGTACACTTCAAAGTAAAACTGCCAAAAGAACCAAAACAGAACATATATACACATACAAAATGAAAGACATGAATATTGGTAGACCTGGAGTAGAGTACAGGAGACAAAGAAAGACAAAAGGTAAAGGACACTCTACATAAGTCTTAATAGACATTGTAGAATTTGTGCCACATATAACAAAGAAAGGCAATGAAACCATTGTTCTAGGAAGCCAGGCAAAATGGGGATTGTTTGGTGGGAATCACAACCTCAAGACTTAGTGCCTGGTATAGAGGTCAGCAAAGCAGTTGGAAGTGATTTAAAAATGGTACTGGAAGGAACAGTTTTGATAGTTATAAACCAGTGCCATCACTTCTAATACTAGTCAGGAGACTAAGTGTTTTAAACCTGAGTTAAACTGAATGAACAATATAAGGCTTTATTTGGTAAGTTGTAACTATATGTATTTGGTAATATAGTTGTAACTATATTTTTATGATAAGTTGTAACTATATGTATTCCTTAGTTTCTTATACCTGAAGGAATAGGACTAACAAGTGCATTATTTTACTTTATGTTGATGATGGTTGGTGGTGCTAGGAATTAAATCTAGGGCTTTACACATGCTAGTGAAGTGCTCTTGCTTCATCCTCAGCCCTATAGTAACACTTTATAAAGTATTGTTTTATGCCATAGCTCTGTTTATGGATAGAGTGGAGAATGGGGTTCAATTTGTCTTGTCTACACCTTAACTATATTAGGCCTTGCGCAAGCTTTGGCTTAGTCATTGCCATGGAAACGTGGTAAATGGACTGCAGCATAGCTCCAAGTGGCTCTGGTCACATTGCATTCTATGGGAATGACACTCTGAATGTTTTAGCAGGAAAATGAGTGGGTGAGGGGATGGTGATGGTGGTAGTTTTGGATGGGGTACAGAGCTTGTTAATCCTGCCAGCAATTCACACCACTAAATTATATGAATGGAAAGTGCCTTGACTGCAGACCTCTGGTTGAAGCCGAAGGGCTCTCCTGAGGGGACACAGGTATTGTTAGAGAAGTCCGGGAGAGTATAGCTTTATGAGCAAGGGGAAAGAGAGAAGAAAAGCATTAACTAAATGGCTTGCTAGTTGGGAGGATGGGGCTTCCTGTACATTACTTCATTTTAATGTTATTTGTGTGGTAAATAGTGTCATCTCCAGTCTTTGGAGACAGAGAGAAAGTACATAGTTTCCTTGGTGTCAATCAGAGCTTTCTTCCTTCCAAGTCTTTTGCTGTGCTTATGCCCACTGTCCCAACCCTCTCCTTCAAGTACTTTGTGGGCTTCTCTCCTACCCTTGGGCTTTCTGAACGAAGCAAGACAACCTTCCTTGCAGCAGTAATGCCAGCCAGGCCTTTTTTGGTAAAAAAGCCGGTTCAGGAAAAATAAACATGTTTATGAGCTACATCTTTTTCCCATTCCAAATTAAAATAACTTTACTGAGGCCCTGAGGGAAAGTGTATGTTCATACAACTTAAGTGGTCCACTTTATTAAAGATGGTTAGGAAAAAAATTGGCATTGTTTTTAGCATTAAAGTATCAATGCTAAGAACATTTGAGGAGTAGCAACATGAATGAATGTAGCTCTCTAATCTTCTTTCCTTATGATAATCTGTAAGGCACTTCAAAGTTTATAACAAATGTTCTTATGCTGCTGGTATCATTATCATCCTCTCTTTCTAAATTGAAAATTAAGGACAGAAACAAAATGACTTGCCCAAGATCTCACAATAGGTTAGCAGCAAGGCTGGAAGTCAAATTAATTTCTTTTGTTCAGGGTAGCATTTTCCAAGTTGACTGTACACCAGCCCCAGGGAGGCTCTGGGAATTCGATTATGAGCTGAGTTGGCTCCTGCCTTTCCCAGACTCAATTGAGACTGCATTTGTAAAAGCAGTTAATCTGTCTGGAATTTATTTTAGCATATGATTAAAAGTTAAGGTCTAGGGCTGGGGATGTGGCTCAAGCGGTAGCGCGCTCGCCTGGCATGCGTGCGGCCCGGGTTCGATCCTCAGCACCACATACAAACAAAGATGCTGTACCCACCGATAACTAACTAAATAATAAATATTAAAAATTAAAAAAAAAGTTAAGGTCTAAGTCAACTTCTTTTTTTCACTTACTAAACAGTTTATTTCCTTTTTGGATTGTTAGACCTACTTTATAACATGTTACATTTTGTGTAATTGAATTGAATTAGATCTGTATTCTGATATATTGCTTTACTTTCAATCTTAATACTAGTTTAGTACTATATTAATTGCTGTCAATTTATAAAATGTTTTAATAGCTGATAAAACTAGACTCTTATTCTTTTTAAATCTTTTAGTTAAGGATTGAAGGCAAATTTCTGTGTAAAGATCGGGTTGTATAAAGAAGTATCTTGGAATGGAGTGAGAGTGTTGGGAAGATACAAATGGCTTGGGTTGGTTAGGAAAAGAGAGATGATTGAGAGTTGTTCACATGTGTCGGCTGTCCCTCCCTTGTGCTTTATTCCTCAGGAGAAGCTATAGTGCTGTTTTTCCTATAGGACAGCTTCTCTCCTTTCTCCTTATCTCTGCTGTGCAAAAATTGAAAGATTTAATTTGAAATTTTATCACATTAAATAGAACAAAGTGGGTTGTTCACCACTATCTAAAAGCCATACAGATTGGTCTGTGTGCTTTCCTCAGACCTGGGAAAGGTGGCCCTGAGGTCTGGAATCAGACTCCCAGGGTTCCAGGCAGAGCTCTGTGACTAGTAGTAATTTATTTATTTATTTTTTATGCCTCTGCTTTTACATTTGCCTCATAAGATTGGCAGTGTAAGTGGTTCTCAAAGTGTGATTTGGAAACCCTCGTATGTCCTTAAGGCCCTTTTAGGAAACTGTGAAGTCAAAACTATTTTCATAATAAAGCTTGGACGGTCTTAGCTATTTTCATTCTTGTTTTTTTTCCACAAGTGTATATTGGAGTTTTTCAAAGTCTACATGAGGTATGATTCTACAATAGATTGAACAGAACTAGATATGAGTTTCCAACTGTCTTCTTTTATACTAAGCATTAATAGGTTTGCAAACATGTAAAACAATACCAGTCTTCTAATTAAATTTTTTTCCTATGGACAGTAATTTCTTTTCATAAAAATTATGTTACTTACATAAGCATATGATGGGCTTATTTATTATTTCTAAACAATTAAGGAAAACATATTTTTTAAATTTTAGGTTTAATTTCTAGCATAGTAAAGAGAGATCCATATAACTCCCATAAATCAAAGCTCTTTGAAAACCTTAATAGTTTTTAAAGGTATAAAAGAAGTTCTGAGATCAAATAGACCAAATAGTCTGTGAGGACTGCAATTGTCAGAAATTTTTTAAAGCTCTTAGAACAATGTTAGCTTGAAACAAATTTGCATGGCATTTAAAGCTTAGAACAATATTAGTTATTACAAGCTATTATAATAATAATTCCACATTATATTCTCTCTCTCTCTCTCTCTCTCTCTCTCTTTTCAATACTGGCGACTGGATCCAGGGCAGTCTGCCACTGAGCTTCATCCCCAGACCTTTTTATCTTTTATTTTAGAGACAGGGTGTTGCTGAGTTGCCTTGAACTTGATCCTCTTGCCTTAGCCTCTTTGGTTGCTGGAATTACGGGCCTGTGCCACTGTGCCTCCTGCACTCTTTTAATCTTTAAGTAAATAATTAAAAAGTTTTTTCCCCCTATTTAATCTTGGTGAGCAGTGTCTTTTGTACTTCATTAACCCTCATAAAATTTTTTACTTATTTTATGTATTTTGTGCTGATCTATTAAGTTCTAAAGCATTTCATTTTCCTTTCCATTTTCTTCATTAAAGAATTTTTTAAACCTAGCTGCTTGAAAAACATTGGGTAGATTTTTACTATCACTAATAAGTGTTGTTTTGATTTTTGCCTTATACAAAATGTAGACCACAATACACTTTTACTTATGTATATTTTTCTTCTCTGTGTTTAGAAATCAGTTGGTAAAATTAATGGAAAATTGAAGTTTTCTTAGATGATAGGTGTTACATGAAAGAAAATTCTAAAGGTACAAAGAATCTATCGTGACAAGTGAATTTCTTCACCTCTAGTTCCTGACTATCCAGTTCTCCTTTCTAATGGCAAACTTTGTTATAAGTTACTCTAATTCTTCTAGAGATAGTTCGTGTGTGTGTGTGTGTTATTGTAATAAAATATTTATAATATAAAATTACTATTTTAGCCATTGTAAGTATACAGGTCAGTGGCATTAATATTACATTATTTGTACACCTATCACTGCTGTCCATCTCTAGTACTTTCGCATCTTCCCAAACTGAAACTGTTACTCATTTCTGCTCATCTCCCCTCTCCTACTCTTAGCAACCATCATTCTTTTTTGTCTCCATGAGTTTGACTACTCTAGGTGCCTAATGTAAGTGAAATAGCAGTCTTTTGTGTCTTTCTGTATGTGGCTCTTTTCACTTACCCCTGCCACATTTTGTTTATCTGTCCATCTGT